GGACTACAGCCCACTTCTTCGGATGGGCTGTAGTCCACAAAAGCTTATGCTTTAATAAATTTGTTAGTCTCTAAGGTGCCACAAGTACTCCTGTTCTTTTTGCAGATACAGACTAACACGGCTGCTACTCTGAAATCTAATCAGAATAGTTATTTACAGCCTTTAATTGAAAACAGCAGGTATACAGGGTAGCTGTCCTCTTATTAGGTATTCAAAAATGACCTGAAATGTTTTTTTAAATCACTTTAGAACTGTTGGAGATTCCAGAGTAACAGATATTAAATAGTTCTCAACAAAACATTTGAAAGATCAGTTCTTTCTTCACTTTTGTTCCAAGGCCAGGGTTCTTATTTTCATCAGAAGGAACAGCTGAGAGGTTGAACATCTAATGCAGGGTACACATCACAAAAGTTGTACACCTTTCAAAAATTCAAAATGTTGGGATGTTTAAAAAGGATCTGTTATGGGATCCAGCCAATTCCCACTGCCTTGTTATCTTGCCAGGGCCGGCTCCAGGGTTATGGCCACCCCAAGCAGCCAAAACAACAACAACAACAACAAAAAGCTGCGATCGCGATCTGCAGCGGCAATTCGGCGGGAGGTCCTTCGCTCCCAGGTGGAGTGAGGGACCGTCCGCCGAATTGCCGCCGAATACCTGGACGTGCCGCCCCTCTCCGGAGCAGCTGCCCCAAGCACCTACTTGAGAAGCTGGTGCCTGGAGCCGGCCCTGTATCTTGCATCCCCCAACCCAGTTTACACCACTCACACAACTTTGACTTTATGCCCTTTTGTTCTGAAGTGGGAATATGCTGTAAGATGCTCTCTCTTCTTGATATGGTATATTGTTTATTAGGAGCGTAGTTAAGATTTAGAAAGGAATATAGCCCCAGGGTACATTAAATTGTCAGTTCTATCCACTCTCCGTTTTATGTAGTGGTGGTGGAGAGTGTTTTTATTAATTGAATTGGAATGATTGCACCTTCCCAACACATGGGTAACTGAAGGAAGGATGGTCCAGTAGTTAGATGCTAACCTGGGATTCTGGAGACATGGGTGCAAGTCACTTAATTTCCCAGTGCCTCAGTTCCCCATCTGTAAAATGGGGATAGTATTAGTGTGGAGCTCAGATACTGTTGTAATTGGGGTCATATAAGTACCTAAGATTGATTGATTGTTGTGATTTTTGTGGCTGAAATGCTTAGACAGTTCTTCAGAGATGTGCTACCCATTTTGTGAAATAATTATAAGTTGACTATGGGATGCTAGTAGCTTTAAACTTCTATAGTCTTAATCTACATTTTACAATAAAGTGAAAAGCATGATCATTACATGTAGATTATTGTATTTTAGTTTTATATACTAGCGCTGCAAAAACAGAGATTAAAAGTTAATTTTATAATTATATCACATCACAGGGCGACCCGTGGGATGTTTTCTCAGTTTAAGGAGAGGTTAGCAAAAAACATAGGAGAGCAGAGAATCCTAAATCCAAAGAATTGGTTATTGTTGGTAGCAGATTTGCTCAGTAATGACAATGGTGAGATTAAGGAAAGCCCCATTTGATTCATTGCTGTAGCCATACATTGTTCACTCTGAGTTGTCACTTTTAAGAACATAACTCTTTTCAAGGGATTATCTAGTGGGAGCTATGCATCTAAATCCTCTGTAACTCTGAAAATTTAGAGTCAGCATCTCAGAAGGCAAAGAAAAACTGTCATATAATAGGGGTCTGAATGCTGAGTAGTATCATAGAATCATAGACTATCAGAGTTGGAAGGGACCTCAAGAGGTCATCTAGTCCAACCCCCTGCTCAAAGCAGGACCAATTCCCAGCTAAATCATCCCAGCCAGGGCTTTGTCAAGCCGGGCCTTAAAAACCTCCAAGGAAGGAGACTCCACCACCTCCCTAGGTAA